TGAAGGGACCCCCCCGCGGGAGGCAGCGCTCGCACGCCCGCTGCTGCTCCGCGCCGTCCCGTGTGCTTTCCGGCTCTGGAGCTGATGTTTGTTTGAGTCAGAAGTGAAATTGCTGTTTCCTTCCTTGCGAGGTTTTTGCGGGGGACGGGTCCGTGAAACGCGTGTGCCGGGCGGGCTCGTGAGCCCGCAGCGTCCCTTCCTCCTGTCTCGTTTCAGGCCGGGGGAAGATGCTTTTTCTTCTTAACATTCTCTCCCGGCGCTCTGAATTAGAGATTTATTTGCAACGAAAAATCAATTAGTCCTAAATTTATTCATGGATTTCAGGTCCAGCGATCAATGCGAGTCCACTCAGCGGGCTCAGGGGGACCCAGTTCATCCCAGTTAATGTGTCTGAAGGGGAATTACCATTGATGCTGTTTTTTTCCCTTTAGGTCAGAGATCAGACCTTGCTGTCATGGACTGCGGCAACCAGGAATGACTTCACCCTGCAGCTACCCAAACTGCACCTAGAGACCTTTGCAGTGGAAGGGCTGAAGGGCAGGCCAGAGGTTGTAGCGTTTCAGGTTAGAGTCTGAAATTCTTTTTTTTTTCCTTTTTTGCATCTGTGGTGGAACGAGGAGCTGGACTGCTCTGAGTGCGTGGAGAACAAAAAGCTTTGAAACTATTGCAATCAACAGTTGAAAGATAAATCATTTCCACGTATTCTCTTGAACAGAGTGTTTCAGAGATGATGTGAACTTCTGATTTTTGCGGTTACAATGTTGAATAACTGATGAGAATCTGACCGTGGAAAAAATGGAAATGTTATATTGGAAAATTAATATCACTCTGTGCCCCCCTCCCTTTCTTCCCCTGCCCCCTTAATTTAAGCAAGGTAAATAAAACAGGAAAAACAAAGAGGAATTTTGTGCTGCTTCTTGGTCAGTATCAGATTTTTCCATATTACCTTTTTAGAAGCAATGGTGGGTTTTGAGCATTCCTAATTTATAAGAAACTGCTTTTTGGAATACTTAAATATAGAAGCTGTTTTGTTCATGTAGGTTTAAAGACTTGTATGTTTCAAAATACTAATTTCATTAGGAGGAAACAATGGGGGAAAAAAGAGAAATGAGATGAAAATGTGCTTATTTTCAGCTCTGAAAATGGATTCTGTGCAATGCCTCCTTATTGTTTTTAAGTTTGTTATATCTTCTTATACACAAGCTATTCCTTAGTCTTTACAGCTGGAGAGTGACTTCATTCTTGTGCTATATTATTGCTAAAGGCAGAACACTTTGTTTTCTCGGTGAGAGAAAGAAAGGCAGAGTTGAGTGCCTACTTCTTTCATTGTGCTTTTCTGTGTGAATCAGACAGAGGAAAGCTAGTCATGTAAAGTGTATGGAAGTCAGACAATGCAAGTATTGCATAGTGTGTGTAAGTTTTCCTAGTAACCTTTTTTAATTTATTGTAGATTTTCTGTTCTAGATGCAGCGTATAATTGCAGGAACAGGGTCACGAAATCAAATATTCAAGAAAGGTAGATTACAAGCTGGACATTTGTCACTATTACAGAATCACAGAATGTTCGGGGCTGGAAGGGACCTCTGTGGGTCGTCTAGTCCAACCCCCCTGCCGAAGCAGGGTCACCTACACCAGGCTGCACAGGACCTTGTCCAGGCAGGTCTTGAATATCTCCAGAGAAGGAGAATCCACAACTTACTTGCACGCGTGCGTTTCAGTATGATAAAGATTTAAATTAGGTGTGTATTACTGTGTTTCCGTAATAAAGTAGCAATACATAACACCTGAGATTCCCATGAACTTTAGTTAACACAGCTGTATGTCTCTAGCAGAGGGTGGAATTGCAAAGGTTTCCCCAGTACAGTCATGATCCCCTTTAAGGCTGTGCAAAAGGTTCCACAGGTGATATCTTTTCAAAGAAGCTGTCATGGAAATGGCTAGCTTTTAAATACTGCTCTTCTAATTCGGTGGCCTACTGAGTGATAGCTGCCTTTTTTTTTTCCCCATTCTTTTTTGTCCTCAGAGTGATTGTATAAGCATTTGCAAGACAGCCTATTCTTTCTTTCTCTCAAGAAGATGAAGAGAAACAGAAGTATAGAAAGTTGCATTTCATGTTTGTACAGAGTGCTTGTGGTGTAACTAACATATAGCAATGTATGCGCTGGGTAGTTTACTGGTGGTGCAGTATTGTAAGCATACTCTTTGTTCACCCAGCAGCTCCCATTACACGCAGTTTCTCTGTATGGACACAGACAGCATCAGTGGTTCACGATCTGTCTCACTGTGCAGTTCTTTTTTCCCTTCCCTTTCCCTTTCCCTTTCCCCTTCCACCCTTCCTTTTCCCTTTTCTCTTTCCTCGTCTCTAGTCACATGGTGCCTGTTTGGTAACTAAGTATATTATAGAGATTTTATTATGACATCTTGCTTTTAGAGCTGGGAGTCAGCTAATTGATATTCACTGTATGCAAAACTATATTAAGAGCAGTCCTCCAATCTTGAATGAGGTAAGCAGTTAGTGATCACTTTATGGACACTTAGTATTAAAACTGATGGAATTGTTTGCATGCATGGTCTCTATAACCTCTACTACTACATGTATTTTATAGTTAGTCTGTAACAAGTGCTTTTCAGTTAAAGGCCTTACTATGTGCAAGTATTAGACATAAGGAGTTTTTTTCCAAGTCTGTATTTATAGGTATTTGGTGCTTTCTTTAAAAAACTGCATTAAAATTTAGATCCTAAATTAGACAGTATGGTAGGGATGAAGCACTGGCTGTCAGAACTATTGAGTATTCACAGAAGATTGCATTGTTTTTATTATGCATCCATTTCATAGTAGGTGGCTGGAATCAGTAATTAATAATTTTATATCCATTGGTTCAGTGTGTATCACTTTCTCACTGTATGAGAGGAGGAAAAAAAGCTAGTATATTTGTATGTGCATACACATCTGCATAGGTTGTCTTCTAATTTTTTTGGAGAGCAATTGGGTCTTAAAGGCGTTTTGAATGAAATCTGCTGTCCTTAATTTACCGTATGGGCTCAGCAGCATTAGTGATCTGTATCCCTTGTCACTGGGAATACAGGAAGTCTCAGAATTTTTAAATTGCTGTTACATCTTTATGAATGTTTCTTGGGAAAAATATGCTTACTTTGTAGGAGACAAGTGCAAAGAAGATTGGCATAATGAACTGGAGTTGCTTGACTGTGAACTAAGCATCAGAGATTTTTTTTTGTTGCATAATTAATTAATTATCTTGTGAAACCAGACTATTGATTTTTTTCTAGCAAATGGATACAACATTCCAAATACCATGAATGCGTACAGGGCTTATCAAACAGACAAATAAACCCCCTGTTATTCACAACCAAAAGTTTTTAAGCTGTATAGGAAGTGGTGTGCATCTTTTAGAGAATGTGTTGTACACACTAGTGATAGACCTTGAGCTAATGAAATGAAATATGTGGAGCACAAAGTTCTGTGCTTCTTCTCCAAAGCCTGCACTGTAATGCCTCTTGAGTTGCAAAATTACATAATAGATTGAAATGTAAGTTATTCAACAAGAATGTCCTTGCATTGAGTGTCTTCTAAAGCCCCATCCAAGCAGTGAAAGTATGTCTTAATTTGTAGGTATTTGTTAAATTCTTGGAAACTGTAACAAGAATTACTGTAATAGTTTGAAAATGTCACTTGAGATGGATAAGTAATGAAAGAAGTGTAGTACCTCAAAGAGTAAAATGTTACGATTGCTATAGCTTTGAAACACTCTCACCTGGTATTTAATTGCTGTGAAGGATGTTATGTCACAAGGTTGTACTGTTTGTTCCTTAGTTAAATTTGAAAGTGGAAAATACAGTATTATTTTCAAACACCTGAAACACATGAGAACAGGATTTAAGGTGTACTGTTCTGGCTGTGCCTGAATGTTCCCACTGAAGACAAAAAGTGGAACTGTATGTGAAGCCTCCAATAAATACAGGATATAGGGTAAAAAAGAGCAACTGACATAACATCAGATTCCTAATTTTAGTAATCTTGCTTGACAGATGACTATTTAAATGAACCAGTAAAGGTTATCAAGTCTTTATTAAAATAAAAAAGTGAATTCCGCTACACCTTTAGGAAGAGGGTAATGTTCTCTCAACTCTCTCTTCTGAAAGAGGTTATCGGCCCTCAGATAAAGTCATCTTTCAGAAGATTCATTCTGAATTGTCTCAAGTACTTTTAGATGAAATACGTAATTAATACTAATGGCAAACAGTTTGACCTAAAAACCAATGCGTGAAGCCCCTATATAGACCAGATAAGGTTTAAACATTCATGTATAAATAATTAAGCGTTAGTATACTCTCACAATAAATTTCTTCTTTTTGAGGTGTAGGCGCAGAAGGGTAAGAACTGGTATGAAAGAAACTTCTTGAAGCAAATCTAGGTACCTCAGACTAGTTTTGTGATAGTACTAGGATGTGTAATGTATTCTTGATGTACAAGTGCTAGATTCCCAAACAGGGAGAGGCTAACAACATACAGATTGGTGGCATTGCCCTGTGTACCTAGGTTATGCTCTGTAGGTTTTACAGGAGGTGCAGGAGCTGTTTAAGCAAACTAGAGGAGCACTGTCTTTAGGGAGGATGTCCCAGGTGTTCTAATACACAGAAGTAACAGTTATTCAGGCAGTGTCAGTGAAAAACAGTGGCAATAAGAAACTAGCTGTGGTTGTCAACAATCACATCCGCTGCGTGTCCAAAAGACGTACATTTGGCTGTGTGATCAGGCAGCCACTGATGTTCACATGTGGTAGCTGCCTGCGTATGGGCAATTAGGGGAAGTTTTTTTTTAAAGAGTAATTGTTTTCTGTGTCATGGGAACTACCTTGACGTCTGTCTTCAAAGTTTCCATTTGTGTGTTTTATTAACTGCCCTGTTAATTTGTGGTGGTTGCTTTTGGTCAGTATTTGGCATGGTGGGCCTCTTACTCCTCGTAATACCTGGTTGCTGAAGCATATGATGTGACTTCTGGATTTTGGTTTGGCAGAGAAACGGTATTCACAGATGAACTTGTATTGCTGTTTTACACGATTTATATGAATTAGAAAATCCAAGTGGGCAAGTTTTGTGAGTGACTTTAATAAGGATGTGAATATTTAATGCATTTGTGTGGTGTATGAAAAAGCAGACGCGAGGATGAGACTGTAGGCAGGCTTCTGGTGTAAAAGGGGTGCACATACACATACCTGTATTTGTCAATATTTAAAGGTCTTGGGAGAAGGCATTTCTTGGTGTGCTGCCACTCACTTGAGGGGTAAGATTGAAAAATCCCTTCCATATTAAGCAAATTGTAATTTTATTATAACCAAGGACTTGAGTGGCTAAATCTGTATGTTTTACTACTAAGCTTGCCCTTAATTTTGAGAGATACCCCACACTTGTGGTGTGCTTTCTTTCCTCCAGGTGGGTTTGAGACAGGTAATTTTTCACTTTGTTGTGTGTGTCCATCTCCCTCTCTTTTTGTGTCTCTCTCTGGTGCACGCTGTCTGTCCCTGTGTGCTGTGTGCCCACTTGC